GCCCTGGATATAATGCTAAAATAATAGTGCAGTCAAAATCTCAGGCTGTTGAGAGCACTGGTGCTCAGTATGCACCAAGGACTTAATCAGAGGAGAGTGTATAACTTTAAATGGGGCAATTCTAGATTGACTCATAGGCTACTCTGAAGATCTCCTACTGTATCCAGCCACTTCTTCCTACAGCACATGTAAGTGAGAAGAGTATCTTGCTGAATTACTGTACTTCTTATGCACATACCCAGTATAGTAATAGGCAAGAAATAGTCTTTCTCCCAGAAATTTCACTGTGACCCAAGACTCACCTGTGAGGACACTAGTTGTTTAATATGTATATCCAAAAGGATGTCCCCATAGTTCAAAACAGCTTAAATACCAGGATCAATAATGTAATTAGTCTGCATTACCAACATAGTCACTAAAACTTTCTTCTGGAATTAAGAGTAGGATCCTGATTATTTTACCCGATGCAGCTCCAAAATCATACCTTCATATTTCATATCCAAGATTGTCTGTCACACAGAGATAGGGTTTAGTTCAAAATTACTAATTTTACCTCCGTCGCACGGAAAATGTTCCATTGGCTTCTCTTGGCAAGGATCATCTATCATGCTGTAGAAACGGACATGTTTCCAATTTTACTACTTTATTGCTTTAGGCTTGATTTATATGAAGTCTGGACCCATACATCCATTAGTTAGAAATGTAGCACTTTTCTCGCTTTGGTGAAAAGACAGTCTCAATTAGCTGCTGAATGTCATTGCCTGTTGCACTAAGTATCATTGAAACAAAAGCAATAAAGTGTTTAAGGAAAATGCCTATCTGGTTTTCTAATCTTGACAGTATCTTTTATTTCCCAGATAGGGGCTTAATCCCTTATGGATTGCTGAAGGCCCTCCTCCTACAGAAAAGCTGTATTATTCTATTTGTTTTTGACACCCCTGTGATCCTTCCTGATCTTTCTATGGGCAAGTCTTTCATGTAGTATAGACAGCTAAATACTTAACTAATTTCAGTTCACGTGTCTGTTATTAGATGTATGCACAGTTAAACTGTACTGATGTAAATAGTGAAGACAACTAAAAAAATAATAAAGTATCTCTAGGATATCTGCAGCCTTTCAAAATATGACAAGAAAGAGGACTGTATTTTTATTATGCTCTAGATTTTAGGTAAAACTCATGGGAAATTAGAATACAAATCTCAGATGCAGAACACAATTAAAATACACTTTAGCCACACCTAAGCATGGGAATCTATTCAAATGTATTCTCCAAAGATACAGCTGAATATACTCTGGATTTTAATTAGACAGATGATTTACTATTTTTAATCTTCAGCACAGCCAAATAGCACTAGAATTTTTTATATTGTCTTTTTTCAGGTATTCCTGAGATTTGTTAATACCACTGTTCTCCTAAAACATTACTTCTGGACAAGCCATTATTGTTATTTTCAAGGGGAAATTAATTTAAATGTCAACAGTGTGTAAACGCATGCACTTGTTGAACAAAATGCTAAACTGAGCACAGAAATTGCCTTCTCCAAGTATGAAGGTCAAATGAAACCTAAAACTTTGGGCCTGTAAAAGACAACGCTTAAAAAAGGTAAGTAGCCATTTTAGGTGTGCTAGTCCCCTTGACATAAACTTGTATAAAAGGCCTGACTAAAAACAAAGTTGCAGTATAACAGCTGCATAATATAAAGACATAGTGCAAGACAAAGGACCTATTTTGGTTGGCATATCTGAAAATAGCAAGGCAGGTGATATGTTTTTCCAAAAGACTATTAAAACTGTTCTCAATATGAAGCACCCATGAAACAGACAGTTATTAATTTAGTCCAGAGACTACCAAAATAGATGACTTTTTCTTCCTATAATGTAAGCAGAGTTTTGATTAGAGGCAAACCACCGATGACAAAGGAAATGTACTGACAGATCCATTGCTCCTAAGTTTCAAAACAAGGCTCTACATCAGGGGTGTGCAAACTACGGCCCGCAGGATTGCCGCCCCCGTGATGCCATGGGCCCCGCACCACTTCCGGAAGCGGCTGGCACTACGTCCCTGCAGCCTCTGAAGGGGCGGGGGGCAGAGGGCTCAGCATGCTGCCCTCGCCTGCAGGCACTGCCCCCCGCAGCTCCCATTGGCCGGAAACAGGGCACCAAGGCCAATGGGAGCTTTTGGGGAGGTACCCGCAGGTGAGGGCAGCACGGAGCACTCTGCCCCCCCTCCCCCAGGGGCTGCAGGGATGTGGTGCCAGCCACTTCCGGGAGTGGCGTGGCACAGGGTCAGGG